CTTTCCATTCCCCTTTCATAGCTTGCCAAATTTGTGGGCTGACAAATAAGGGAATTCCAAATTCCATCTTTAAAACAAAATGACTTAGCTTCTCATTTGATACAGCTGCATACTTCTGCTCACATTCAAGTTCAAAACTGAAATAACTTTTATTTGTGTGGTTCATGACAATAGTTAAGATGCTTTAATACATACTATTTCATTTGAACATCAAATCATTATTCTCACATTATAGATTTAAAAAAAAAAAAAAAAAAAACACTCTCAGAAAGCTTAACCTGTTTTATCCATCTGTCCAAATTTCTTATTCAAATCTTGGGACTTAGAATTAGACTCCTAATTCAGATGTTGTTCTGATTTTACGGAAACAAAACAAAACTGCTCTGTATTTCTCCTAAAATTGAGGTACCCTTTAGCAGACATTTAAAATCCAGCTCAAAAGTTAAAGCTTCTTAAACATTTCTTTGGAGGAAAGAAGATTGTTTTTTAACATAGGATACATAAAATATCAGCAGTTTCTAATTTTTGAATGATGAAATTATTTCTAACCTTAGAATTAATAGTCCAAAGGAGGAAAACCTTCTTTTCACATTTACCTAGTAAACTACTGGTATTTAAAAATAGAATTACTGCTTCTATGGTGAACTTTAAGTGCATCAGGAACTAACACAAATTGACTGATATCGTATATCATGTAAAAAGAATTATACACACAAGTAATCTTCAAAACGATATTATGAACCAGTCAAAACAGGATTTTCACTATCTCTACTTCATTCTAGTCAGTATGCTTAGTAATTTAACATTCAAGAATGACAAATACAGCAAAATTATTGCTCCACAAACAGCAATGAATTTCAGTCAATTTGTGTCTGCCACTGATAACCTCACAATCACCACAGACTTATGGAAGCAGTAATTCTATTTTTAAATACCAACAGTGTACTTTGTAGACACAAAAAGGTTTTCCTCTTTGGACTGTTTAATTCTAAGGTTAGAAGTAATTTTATCACTGAAGAATTAGAAAAATTGCTCATTCTTTTTATGTGCATAAATAAATAATACAGAATTACTTTAAATTCCTCCAGCCAATTTTGCTGAAAGTCAACTGAGCTTGTTGTTCTTATAGCTAAAATTATTAACATCTTCAATATAATCTAATGAAAAATAGCTTCAACAATTGGAGTTTTGGAAGATGGCTCCTTTAATAGTGTGACAAAACTACATCCCAAATACATTATTACCATCTATTAAGTCTGAGATGATTTATATCCATAGGACTTTAAAATTATATACATTGGTTAGTTTGGTAGATAAAATAACTATATTATTAATTTTTATGCTACTACTACAATCTCCATTCAGAAATTTTATGCATACGACTTCTATGCATGAAACCTCATCCTTTTTGTGTGGTCAGAAAGATTCATTAAGTTTAAAAAGTGAACTCTTTCCCCTAAAAAGCACTCATTAAGTTTTCCTGAATAACATTTATTATTAAATGAAACTGGCTTGAACAAACATATGCTGAGTTCTGTATTTTTCATATTTTATGCAAAGTCCTCCCACATAACAGTTTTAACTTGACTACTCCTGGTAACTTATTTATTAGGTTTACCACCACTGGCCTGAGTATATTTATTATTTAATTATGGAGATATTTTTAAACTTACAAATAGCTTTCTAACCATGCTAGTAAGAGGCAACATACCCTACTGTGGAGCATGAAATTGGAACTGAATTCTTGGCTTTGCTATGGACATACTATGTGCTCCTGAATAGATTACAATGTTCATATTTCATTTATTTCAGTGTGCACAGTTCCTCAGATGTAAATTACAAAGCATAGCACTTGCAGAATGGACAATGAAAAATTTGTTGAGTGATTATTAGAAACCGTTTTGAAATTGGGGTAAGAAGCCCTGGCACAGGACTTCAGTGTCCTCACCAGTAATATGAGAAGACTCATACAGAAGCTCTAAGTTGTAGGTGGTTTCTCCAGGAATCAAACTCCAAGACAGAAATTTAGCAACTGGGAAATTTATTGAGGAGTGTTTTCAGGGTAAGGAGCTCTGATGGTATAGTGGTTAAGGCATTTGGCTGCCAACCAAAAGGTTGGTGGTTTAACCCCACCAGCTGCTCCACAGAACTACGGGGCAGTCTGCTTCCGTGAAGATTTACAGCCTTAGAAACCCAATGGGGTTCGCTATGAGTCAGAATCAACTTGATGGCAGCAAGTTTAGTTTTTTGTTTGCTCTCAGGATGATCACCTGTGGGAGCAGTGAAGATGCAAGGTAGAAGCGGGGCTATGCCACAGTCACAACAAAGGCCTCAGCTGTCCCCATGGGGGCACTATGGAGCTGAGACAGCCCTGCAGAGCTGTACTGAATTGGGACAGGGCCTTTGCAACCTTGCATCAACCAGTTACTGCATGCAGACTGCCCTCAGAAAGGGTACATGACTTTGGTGAGCTCTCTTCATTTGGCTGAGGTGAGGGCAATACTCTTCTTTGCCCCAGTCCTAAAAGGCGTTATCTGGGCAGTGCACCAGTGTTTGCTACTGAGTAGCAGGGTTCATTCCAGTTCCGTGATGTCTCCTTTAGTTTTACGGCACAATCAAAACTAAACCATCATCAAAACATCTTATCTGTCCTTGATAACATAAACATACTATAAGATTCCATTTATGTGAACTTCATGAACAGGTAAAACTAATCTATACTGATAGAGGTCAGAATAATGGTTACCTTTGAGGGATACTAACTGGTAGGAGGCATAAGAGAACATTCTGGGGTGCTGATAATGTTCTTATCTTAGATATATATATATGTATATATATGTGAAAATTTATTGTACTGTATGTGTGCATGCATGCATACAAGCACACAAAACCATGGTTTCCTCAAAGATTTACCAATAAAGGCGATTCCATAAAATGCTCTATTAATATTTCCTAAGATAAACAAACTATTGACATTGCAATGTATAAACCAAATGTAAATTATTTAAGTTTATAGTTTTCTATTATTATAACACTTTAACAATTCTTTTACTTCTTTTATAATTTTGATGTATAAAATTATTTGAAATATTTATAGTCAAGGCATTTGAAAGCCTCAAAAATGAAACAAACAATAAAGTAATAAATTATGTTATCAAGTGGGTTTAAGTATACATATAAACAAAATAGTGACCATTGGACAAGGACTTGCAAAACTGCCATCTAAAATCAGAACTGCAATGAAGATTTGGATAAATCACATGGCTGATGTACATCATATTTAAAAAGACAAAGTACAGTGCTGCCATCTAGCAGATAAAGCTGATAATGACCAATGTCAGCTCTGAAAGGTAATACACATCTTGTAGAAAAGAGAAATGCCAAACTCTACCTTTTCTAACAATATTCTACCATGATAAAGCTTTAACTCTATTGGGTAAATCTGGGAACAGCTAAAAGTTAAAATACTTATGTTCTCAAAGAAAAAATTTTATTTTCAAAGTAGCCACCAAGAGCTCAAACTGTGGTATTAGTAGTAGGAGCTTCAGAGGTTCCCTGGAACAAATCCCATCCCATTTAAAAACAAACTCTTTCTAAAAGGTCCTAGAGCTATATTCTCCTGTAATAGTCTCTGGGGAGGAAGGTGTGCCATGTCCAGTTGATCATACCCAAAATCTATTTATTTAAAATAAAGCAAATGCTAAGAAAGAAAGAGAAGCACAGGGCATGCTAGATTTTGGATAGAGGTTCTAAACAGAGTGCACTTAAGGAATGACAAGGTCTTCCTCCTTTAGTGATGTCTGAACATCTGGATTCTAACAGGCAAAGGCCCCTAGTCTTCTGTGCTCCAACAGCAAGATTTCTCATCTTAACTGCCACCCCCCCCCCAACACATACACACACACACCAATCTCTGGCTTACATAGGCATCATCAAAGTCAAAGACCCAATGAATATCCAGCTGGGCTCCTGTCCACAAAAAAATGGAGAAAATTTACAAATCCCAGCACTCTAAGGGCAGAAGAACAGAGGAAGACCACAATGAGAATAGATAATACAATACTGCTGGAGAAATAAGCTACTAAGTAGATGTCCAGATACCAGACAAGGAGATACCAACAACATCTCATGCCCATGCCACTATTCTCAGTAAGAATAAAGTCCTATTACTGTACTGCTCCAGAGCACGCCCCAGGTAGAATCTGAGAGCCTAATCGTAAGTGAAGGGTCACATTGTCACTGAGAAAACTAACATAGCTAAGAAGATCCTTATAATCACCATGTCACTCACTGCTACACAGATGCCATCACACTATAACAGTGCCCAGCATCCACAAAGTAACAATATGGCACAAAGAAACTAGAAGAGTCACATAATCAAACAAAGTAAGATACATGGAAATGAGAAGACCAAGGCTCTAGAGACTGTAATATAACTGGTACCATGCAACTGAGTGTGCTACGCACTGAACAGAGGGGTTTATAGACACTAGAATACCTTACCAGCAGTCAGTTGTTGTTGTTGTTGTTATGTGCCATCGAGTCAGATCCGACTCATAGCGACCCCTCCTTGGGTTTCGGAGGCAGTATCACTACGGAAGTGGATTGACCAACCTTCTCTGCTCCTAGTTTCTAGAATTTAGGCCAAGTCAATCTCATCTGTACTGACTAGAGTAGCAATTCTAGCTGTGTGTTTCACAGAACAAAAACAGTTATATACTTTTTAATAAAAAAGTTTCATACTCATGTAGTTATAGTGAAATGTAGCTACTATAAACCACCAATCTTAAGAGATTCACAACTGTAAAGGCTCTAAGAAGTGCTTTAGAAAAATATCAATTTAAATTTAATGTATTTTTTCCCAAACTACTGGGCCACAAAACCTTTAATAGATACAACCATTGCAAAACACAGTTTGCCAAATACTGGGTTAGTTTCCTCTTATTTCTACTATTCTGTGATTATAAAAGTACTAAAATGGTCAATATAAATTATCTTACCTCAGCTACACAACAAATTGACCCCAAGGCTTCTCCCCGAAAACCGTATGTTGTCAAATTTTCAAGATCTTCATGACTATTTATTTTTGAGGTATAATACTTCACTGCCATTACAGGTGCATCAACAGCCTTGATACCTTCACCATTGTCTCGTACCTCGATTTTATCAAATCCATAGTTCTCCTACAAAAAGTTAAAAGATACATTTAGTATAAAAAAACAGTCTATTTACCAACACACTTAGAAACAGAAAGACAAATGAAACAATTATGTGATTTATTTCCATTTTATGGAATCTTAATGTTATGGACCCTCAACAAGATGGACTGACACTGTAGCTGCAACTATGGGCTGAAATATAGCAAGGATTGTAAGGATAGTGTATAAGGGGGCAGTGTTTTGGTCTGTCATACCATGAGTTGGTCACTATGAGTTGGAGCCCATTCGACAGCACCTAACAACAATAATAATGATACTATGAGAATTAAAGCTCTATAGTTTATTAATTACTAATTATGGTACAATGGGTAAGTTCCTTGTTTTCTCTGGACTGAGATTCAATTGTAATATAAGGGAGTCAGTATGATCTTAAAGATTTCTTTGGATAGTTTCAGTGTCATGAGTATTTATATATTTGCTTAAACTGGACTAAAAAAGCTGTGAATGACATGTATTTTCTATATATATAGTCCCTGAAATAAAACAAATCACCAAAAACATACTACCAAGAATCTAGCAATTTTAACATTCAACCTTATTTTTATTACTTTCTCCCTTGAAGTACTAATTACTTTCATAAGAAATTTAAATATATACTACATTTTAACTTTCTAAATTTCTTTCTGCAAATAGTTACCAAACAGGAAGCTGCTAAAAAAATAAAAATACACCTAATTTGGCAAACATAGTAAATTTTACATTTGAAAATCAAGAAAATTAAAAAGGTTCTCAATTCAGAGCATAGTTTTTGTATTCTAATACTAAAAACATGCCTACACAACAAAATCTGAATCTAAATTCCTATAGTGATCGCACTTTCTATAAATAACCGGTTGTCTTTGAGTCAATTTCAATTCACAGCAACCCCATGTGTCAGAGCAGAACTGTGCTCCAGGGGATTTTCAATGCTGATTTTTCAGAAGTCTATCTCTGAGGAGCCTGTGGGTGGACTCGAATCTCAGCCTTTAGGTGAGTACCTGACTGCACCAACCATCTGTACCACACAGGGACTCCCACATTATAAATTTGGTCGCTAGCATTTACATAACCTTAACTCCACAGTTTTATGGCATTAGACATAGATGCAAATTATAAAAGGAAAAAAAATCTTCCTACAGTCATGATTCTGGTATTTTAAAAAATACAAAAAAAAACCCAAAGTCTAAAATTATGTAATACTGCATGCATTGGTACATTTTTAGATATCATAGGAATACAAGGAGGGGGTTGTGGGAGACACCTCCAAGCTAAAATTAGGCTAACGTTCTAGGAATACCTTGCCTGCTTCATTTTCTAAGACAATCATTAACTACAGAAATTCAAATCTATCAATAAGAATTTCAGGCACCTAAATAAAATAAAAACACAAAGGTCTATTTAAATGTTAGAAATAATATCAAAGTATTTAACTAATTATGAAAACATTCAGTCAGAACAGATATTACTGTATGAAACTAAAATAAAACAGGTTTTATTATATACAGTAATACAGTTAAAGTTTTTACTGTCAAATTCTACAAACTATATACTAATATATGTCAGGAGACCAAAATATACAGCCACATAAGTATGTTTAATTTACTTTTATAAGAGAACTTCTATTGCCTTTGTAACACTATTTTTAAAAACTGTGTTATTTTTCTTCCAGAGACCTTTAAGAACAAGATATATATTTGGCTGCCTAACATTATTAAGTGAAACCTGTAAGTCAAGGTTTAAATAAGGAGTTAAATGTCTAATCTTATTTAATAATTATCAATTGTACTTTGATCAGATTTAATCAACTACATGAAATGTGTAAGAATAGTATCTTTCTTTGGGTTTAATGTACTAAACTCATTTTCATGTTTATAAAGCTCTTAGTGTATTATTAAACAACACAATACAGTTTGACAGGTATATAGCAATAGTTCTCAGTGTGTTCCCTGGATTAGCAATAGTATTAGAAACTTGTTAGAAAAGCAAATTCTCAGGCCCCATCTAGATTCTGAAACTCCAAGGGTGAGATTTTGGTAATATATTTAACAAGTCCCTTAAATGATTCTGATGCACCCAAACGTGTGGGAAGCATTGGTATAGGGGGAAGACCATGAATGGCTTCTGTAGTCACAAACACCTGGATTCCAATCTCAGCTCCATCACTTAATTATGTATCTTTGGGCAAGTTTTCAGAACCTAAATTATCTGTAAAATGGATATGCTGTTATGTGCCACCGAGTCAATTCTGACTCACAGTGATCCTATAGGACAGAGCAGATTGTCCCATGATGTTTCCAAGGCTGTAAGTCTTTAGGGAAACAGACTGTCACATCTTTGTCCTGCAGAGCGGGTACTGAATTTAAACCACCAACCTTTCAGTTAGCAGCCAAATGCTTAACCACTACTCCACCAGGGTTCCTAAAATGGGTATAGTAGAAGCTAACTGACAGAGTTTTTGAATAAGTAATTAATATTATATATACAACGTATAGCACAGAATCTAGTAAATGATAGACATTAAGGTTAGGTCCTTTTCCTATAAAGATACTTGTATCAGCATTGTTTCTAATGCTGTAATAACAGAAATAACATAAATGTCTGATAAATGGGAGATATTTTAAAAATTATGTATTCTTACATTCATTCAAACAAAAAAACGTATTCACCTTCCTAGCATGTGAGTGGGAGCCCTGATGGCATAGTGTCTAAGGCACTTGACTGCTAACCAGAAGGCTGGCGGTTCAAACCCACTAGCCACTCCTCCGAAGGAAGGCTGGGCAATCTACTTCCATAGTGATACAGCCTCTGAAGCCTAAGGAGGGGTCGCCATGACTCAAATCGACTCCATGGCAGAGAGTGAGTTAGTTAAGTATGCCTAGTATTCCTAGCATTGGATAGGGATTGAGAACCTTACCTCTATGAGGTCACAATTTAAATTAAAGGAGAGAGATACGCAAACTAATTGCAATCAGTTATAATAAGTGTTATAAACCAGGTGCTGTCCAGTCAATTCTGACTCATGGCAGCCTCATGTGTCCAAGTACAACTGGGCTCTCTAGGCTTTTCAATGGCTTTTTCAGAAGTAGATCACCAGGCCATGAGTGTTAAGTCATTATTAATTAAAATGATTTAATTTCATTCATAGCACTTAAACTTAAGTGTTACATAGCTGTACAGTACTTAAATTTAAAAACGTGAAAACTACGGAGTAACGAGGAAAATGGTTTTAAAATAAGATATGCTGTTATGTGCCACTGAGTTGTCTCCAACTCATAGCAACCCCTCCTTGAGTTTCCAAAGTGGTATCACTATGGAAGTAGATTGCCCAACCTTCCTTCCCAGGAGTGGCTGGTGGGTTTGAACCACCAACCTTCTGGTTAGCAGTCAAGTGCCTTAGGCACTAATAAAATGCAATGAAGAGTATACAATAAAATAGTATATATAAATAACAAAATTCTCACTGCTGTTGACTTGGATCTGACTCATAGCAACCCCTCCTTGGGTTTCTGAGGTGGTATCACTATGGAAATAGATTGTCTAATCTTCCTTCTGAGGAGTGGCTGGTGGGTTTGAACCACCAGCCTTCTGGCTAGCAGTCAAATGCCTTAGGAACTATGCTATCAGAGCTCCTGTAGATATAAAAAAACAAGGTTAAATATTAGTTAAAAAAATAAAACAAATTAAATGATGCTTTAGATGATGGAATCGTACAAGAAATATTTTCTTCCATAATTTCCTTTAATGTTAATATAATACTGATCGACATTAAAATTTAGTTTTAAGAATTTACTCTTAAATAAGATAAAGCGTCAAATATCCTAAGGATTATTTAAATCCACTGCCATCAAATTGATCACAACTCATAATAAGACAAGTAGGACTGTCCCAAAGTTTCCAAGGCTGTAATGCTTTATAGAGTAGCTGGTGGGCTTATATTACTGCCCTTTTGCTTATCAGACAAGTGCTTTAACTACTGTGTCACTAGAGTACAAAAAAGGAAAAAAAAAAATGTAGCAGTTTACAAGAAGAAAACATCTGCCCAGTCCTTTTATTGCTTTACTCATTTGGCTTCTCAAGGCAACTCACCAGTTTAACATCTATGCTTGTAGCACCAGCATCCAAGGAATTTTCAATGAGTTCTTTTACAACACTAACCACTGAAGTGATTATCTGAGAACTTGAAAGGAGGCGAACAGTAGCTGCAGGCAACTGTTTCATTCTAGCTTTTAGCAGAATAGCTAGAAAATAAAAAATGCAAGTTATAAAAACAAGATTTGTTAAAGAAACATTCCTGACTAACAGAATAGACAATAATAACAATAATAATAATAATAATATTAGCAGTTCACATTTATTAAGCGCTTACTATGTGCCAGGCTTTACTGTAAGCACATACTATTTTTAAGTAATTTATCTCTTAAAACTACCATTTGAAATAGGTACAAATATCTTTTGGAATAGGTGCTGTTATGATCTCCATTTTACAGATGAGGAAAGTAAAGGAGAGAAAAGTTAAGAAATGTGTCCAAAGTCATCCAGTTAATTAGGGGGGGGAAAAAAAAAAACCTCACTGCCGCTGAGTCGGAGCGACGACTCCTTGGGTTTCCTAGGCAGTATCACTACAGAAATAGATTGCCCAACCTTCCTTCCGAGGAGTGGCTGGCTGGTACACCGTTGAACTGCCAGCCTTCTGGTTAGCAGTCAATTGCCTTAGGCACTACACCACCAGAGCTCCTCAGCTAATTAGAGGCAGAGCTAATTCTTAATTATAGGTTGTCATGCAATTATTTCCTCTGTTGATACATAGTCTAATTACCTTTTTCAAAAGTAGTCATGAACAAGTCTAAAAAATCTGAGTAACATAGGAGAAAATTACCTTTTCTTATAATTTCTCTCATAGATTATGTGTGACTTTAATTATTGACTTCTCTCCTAAACTCCTAACACTACCTAAAACTCAACACATTTAACAGCCAGCTTCTCCCACTCATGATGCTCCTATCAGAGTTACATTCATTCATGCAGACCCAAATCTAATCAATTTCTATGTCTCATTAATTAATTCTTTCTTCAGTATGTTTCACATCTAGTTCCTCCTTTTCATATTCTCTCCATTACAATAATTGAGGCTCTCAGCATCATTTCCTAACTAATTTCAAGCCTTTGATTCAGTTATGTACTCCAACAATTTGTGTTGTTGTTAGGCACTGCCGAGTGATTTCCAATTCATAGCGACCCTGCTCTACAACAGAACAAAACACTGCCTGGTCCTGCACCTTCCTCACAATCGTTGCTATATTTGAGCCCACTGTTGCAGCCACTGTGTCAGTCCATCTCATTGAGGGTTTTCTTTTTTTGCTGAGGAAAATACAGTCTATACTACCCATTAATAATATCGATGATGATTACAAGAACAGCAACTATAATTTACTGAACAGCTAGTATGCCAGGCACTGCACTTGTTGTTGTTATGTGCCGTCGAGTCAGCCCCGACTCATAGTGACCCCTCTTGGGTTTCCGAGGCAGTATCACTACGGAAGTAGGATTGCCCAACCTTCCTTCCGAGGAGTGGCTGGTGGGTTTGAACCGCCAGCCTTCTGGTTAGCAGTCAAGTGCTTTAGCCACTATGCTACCACAGCTCCTAGGCACTGCACTAAACACTGCATATATCGGCTTGCATTTAATCCTCCAAACAACCATGAAAAGTACTACTCATAAATATCATCATTTAAGAGGTAAAACAGAGATTAAATTACCTAGCCTATGTACTTATGTTAAGAAATATTTTTCCTCAAATGTATTTCCCTCAATGTCTGTCCCAAGTTATTTGCCCAAGTAGCTAATTTATCAAGGCATGTAAAGAATGGAATCATCCAAACAAGACTGCACTAAAAACCTTTTGTTTTTAAACATTCAGTTGTAAATCACACTATGGTACTAACTGAAGAACAGTAGAACAGTTGGACTGTAAGTATAACTGCATGATCTGCCAGCTGGAAATGATCAGTTGATGCTATGACCTTGGAAGAAGCATAATGACAGTCTTGTGCATTGACTGCAGACTCCCTTAACCATCACTACTCACCCATACACTGTAGTGAGTAATGATGTCTTCAATCATTGAGATCTTTTGGGATATCTAGACCCTAGAAACATTGTTAATCTAAACTGGTCCAGTATTCATCATCTTTATTACTCTCCATAAAAAAAATCATTCATGGGAGGATATGGAATGTGTGGCTAACTGCCTCCATAAACACTGCCTTCTTTGCTGGAGACCAGAAGAATTGTATGGTGCCTGGCTTCCATTACTGAACATTTTGCTTAAAGATTCTACAGCAGAATCCTGATCAAAAGGGGGAGAATGCAGAATAGAACTACAAAATCTCATGGACTCCAGACTTTATTAATCCATGGAGGCTGGATGAACCCATGACACTACTGCCCTGAGATAATCTTTAAATCTTAAACCAAAAATATCCCCTAAGTCTTAAAACCAAACAACAGTTTAGCTTAACTAATAAAGAATGTCTGCCATGAGCATTGTGCTCTTTCAAGATTATCTATGTGGGGTCAAAATGACAGCAGCAATAGGAAAGGTTAGACAGGACGCTTAGAGGCAGTGAGTTTATGTTAACGGGGGAGGAACCCTCAGAAAAAGAGGGTAAGAATGATTGCAATAGTTGAAGAATATAATCAGTATCACTGCATTGTACATGTAGAAACTGTTGAATTGGCATATGTTTTACTAGGTACATTCTCAACAACAAAATCAGTAAAATTAAAAAGTAAAACATATGTTAATACATTATTTTTCTCTATTTTAAGGCCACTTTATTAACCTTTCTATCCAATCACCCAAGACAAAATGAGAAATGTGGAAGTCATCCTAGAAATTCTTTCTCCTCACTCTCCACATCCTGCCACTCTGTACCATCTATACTACCTAAATATTTCTCAAAGTAGTCCTTTCCTTTCTATATCTATAGCTAATGCCTGTTCAGCCTCTCTTCCTCCCCTGAACTACTGACATAACCATCTAATTGATATTTGCCTTTAATCTTTACCACCTTTAAGATGCTATGGGGTTCTTTCTAAAATTTAAATCTCAACATGTTGTTATCTTACTTAAAATCTTATAAAGATTTCCATCTGCTTACCAAAGTCCAAACTCCCTAACAATTAGGCCTCTGCCCACCTTTCTAATCTCATCTCACTATTCCCCATATATACACTAGGACAATGATGCTATAATAGCTTGTCTCTCCTAGTGTGGTGACACTCACTCCTTCCTACCTCACACAGTTCCATTTCTAGAGTGATTTCTAATCATCATTTCAGATTTAGTTCACCCAAGCCTTTCTTCTCTATTCCAACAGCACCTTTTCCTTACTCCTAATCCAGAACTCATTACAGGGTATTGCAATTATTTGTTTGTCTGGATTTGATATTAATTATGTTTCTCTTACACAGGCCCTGGCACATGTCAAGCATTCAACTGTTATGTGTACCAAATGACCCCTTTTGAAAGGAGAAAGGATTGATAGCAGGCTTACATGTCACAGCACCAAGTGTCTGAGAATGTCAAAGTAGTCAGTCCATAGTTGCTGAGAGGGGAAATAGAACACTTCAGAAAGTGGCGATGATTAGTTTGGAAGTCAAGAAAGGATGACAGGTGTACCTGAAAAATAAGCAGGTATCAGAGAACTCAGACTTTACAGAGAATAAACCAAAACCAAACTCACCGTGATTTAGTTGAATTTGACTCATAGTGACCCCAACTAGGTTTCCAAGGCCATAAATCTTTACTTAGAAGCAGAGTGCTTCATCTGTCTTCCGTGGAGTGGCTGATGGGTTTGAACCACTGACCTTTTGCTTAGCAGCCAGCTGCCTTAACTACTATACCACTAAAGCTTTTTACAGAGAATACAAAGAAACAATTTAAAATAATAAATGTCATCCACCTGTATGAATAGAAGGAATAAAATGCAAGCTATGTGTATATTGACAGCTAACGGTTACTTAAGTTAATTTCTAAATGTTGTTGAAAGTTATTTCAGCATTGCAAATTACACTTTTTTTGTAAACAACCAAGGTGAAAGAAGTTCAATTTCAAAGATGACTCCAAATAATCTAACCAAGATTGTACCTCTTCATTCCCAAGTAAAATGGTCAATTACTGGTATCCACGTGGTACAAGGTTAAGCGCTAGGTTCTTAGCAAGATGATGTTTCCAACCCACCAGCCGCTCTCCAGGAGACAAGGCTTGGTAATCTGCTCCAGTAAAGACTACCCCGTTGCGGTGGATACCGACTCATAGGGACCCTATAGAACAAACTAAAACTGCCCCATAGGGATTCCAAGGCTGCAGTCTTTTCGAAGCAAACTGCCACATCTTTCTCCCGCTGAGCGGTTGATGGGCTAGGAAATCCTATGTGGTGCTGCCAGAGTCGGAATGCACTCCATGGTACACATTTCCTCAGGATGTAATAAGGTGCACGCTTTCAGCCTGTCATTTAACCCAGAACAACAGCAAAGGTCGTTGTTAACTGAAAGCAGTTTACTTGAAACACTTAAACGTTGTCAAAATACACAGTATTATAAAACGCCGCATTCACAAGTTGCGGCTGTCATGGGTTAAAATTTCTGCCTGGAAAATAAGAATGTTAAGTCTTGACGCCACAAGGACCTGGAGAATGAGATGCAGCAAAGGTCTTGCACACAATTTAGTCAGCAAATGCTAAACTAGACCATTAAGGAGATCAGACCCGCTCGGGAACGCTCTCCTTGTGTGCACGCCAGCCAGCCCTGCTGTTGGTATGCTTCCCGCCAGTCGGAAGGGCCCACAGCGGCCCGCAGAGCTCGCATTCTGACCGAGACGAGTTAAGGCAAGAGAGCCTAGAATCTGCGAGAATCTAAGAATGCCCGTTAACCACAAAACTCTACCCTTACGCTTGCGCGAGTTGGGCAACTACCATCCACTTGCGACGACAGGCCAGCGTCTCGCCAGCAGCCCAGCAGCACTCAGTGTCGCACAACCTTTACTCGCTAGCAGCGCGCGAAGAAACTGGGCGCCAGACGCGCGGCACCTGGTCCCGCCTCCACAGGGGGTTCATGGGATTGGCGCTGCCGGCAGCCAATCTGCTGGCAGCGCGTTCAGTTCAGGCAGCTTCCGCAAACTGTACTGACCAGTGGCATTAGGCCTGTGAGGAGTCGCCGGCGCCCTTAGGCTGGTCCTGCTCTGTGCCGACCGCGGGAAGTGGGGCGGCGGGTGAGTGGGCACGCACTGGCTCAGAGGTTGTATTACTGCCTTGGTGGGGCAGGAAGCTGCTGGCAGGCCAGGGTCGGCCTAAGGGAGAAAGTGGGCTGCGTCCGCGTTGCCCTAATCAGTCTGTGGCCGTGCCGGCCAAGTGGTTCCCTAGGCTCGCCCCCTAAGTCCTAGTCGTCTTGCCACGACCCTGATGGGGATGTCAGCTCCGAGAAGAAGGGTGGGGAAGGCGCTGCGGCGGTGTCAACAGCAGTTTTTGTTGAGTTTCCACTGGCTTGGAGCTCCAACTGCAGGGGAAACTACCGGGATGTACGTAAGGCAGGCGGGGGACTCCCCATAGGGGGCCGCTGCTGGCCGCGGTTCTAGAGGCACCGCGAGGGCCGAGCCGAGAGCTGTTCATTGTCTATGAAGTCTTTGTTTGCCAGTCCTTGAGTGGCGAGCTGCCTTCTGAAGCTAGCAAACAGCGCGGCAGATCTGCTGGGAAAGGTTTTCTGAATTAGGGAAGAGGGTCAGTACCTAAACGAGCATTGTCGAGATGTAAATTTTAGGTCGCCTTCCAGCATTTTCCCCATCCTGTTGAAAGTAGGAAAACTATCTTGAGTGGTGGCATATTCCAAATATAATTTAAAAAATTAATATAACAAGTAAGGTCTGGTGAAACGAAGGATGGGTTGCGTATAAGAAAATATTTATACTTCTGCTTGAGACTTTTGCTTCTTTTTAATGTAACTTTTCCTTGATGTGTATTCTTCATAGATTTCTGGAGGGAGGGGCATTGCACTTAGGAAACACTGAATGAGGTTATGAGAAATATCTTTCTGCCAACTGCAATGGAAAGAGTGTGTACCTACATTTTAAAGCTAGAGGTGTCCATACTATAATGTGGCCTGTTTATACTGGAATGATAAGTATTCTTCAAGACAGTTTAAAGCGGTTCTTAGACCCAGCCCCAGCCATCATCTTTGAAATAACTGGGAGATACCAGTTCTTCCTTTGGTGTTCATCTTGAACTTAAAAGGAGAAGGAAAAACTTAAAAAAAAAAAAGAAGAAGAAGAAAAAACAATTTTAGGGGAGTTCAGAAGAAACGATTTCTTTAAATACCAAATTGCATCACAAAATTGAGAAGGAAGCATTAGCCCATGGCCTTGTAAAATTATGTTAACATCCTTGGAGGTTTAGTATTTAAAAAGGAGTTACTTGAACTCTGACCACTCTATGGTCATTATATTATAAGTGTTGGCTGCTCAGGCTGGCTGGATCAGCTTTGCTTTGTTATATATTAGTTTATTCTTTTGATGGTAAAATGAGCTCTTGGCTTTTCATATGGTGATGTAGGAAATTGTAGTTTTTCATACAGCTGGTGTTTTCTGCCCATTATTTTATTTAGTAAAACTAACATGCTAGAAGACAAGATTTGAAAAAGAGATTTTAACTTTTTTCAAAGACAGCCACAAAATAAGGCTTGTCTTCTCATCAAAGGCAGATGTTAAGGTTTCTTTATTGCCTTCAAAAGCATTTGCAAGTAGTATATTTTGGAAGGTTTATGTGTTCTATTTCACAACAACTAGGAAAGAAATCATAGTAACAATTATTATTTCAAGTCAGAATTAGGGGTGTCTAGGTTTCCAGTTACATCAGTGTTGATTCATTTCATTGATTCCCTACACAGCAAACATGAATGTTGGAGTTGCCCACAGCGAGGTGAATCCAAACACCCGTGTAATGAACAGCCGTGGCATGTGGCTGACATACGCACTGGGAGTTGGCTTGCTCCATATAGTCTTACTCAGCATCCCCTTCTTCAGCGTTCCTGTTGCTTGGACCTTAACAAATGTTATACATAACCTGGTAAGAATTTTGCCATATACTGAATACATAAAAGCTTAAGATTTTGTTACGAAGAAAATAAACACATGACTTTAAGTGTTTGTTTTTCTTGTTAACTCTATTAAGGTACAAGTTACGTACCATAAACTCAACCATTCAATATGTACAATTCAATTTTAGTATATATATATATATATTCAGTATATATAGTTTTAGTATATATTAATTTTGAAGAATTATAATCTGGGATAAAATTTTATTTTTCTATCACTGTTTAACACTGGGCCCTTTTTCTCAGTAAGGCATTTTTCTCTCCCATTGGTTTTATAGAATCCAGAAATAGTAGACCATTTTAGCAAAAATAACGAGACACTATAATTGAGGCCGCTATAATATATGTTAACCAAAATGCTTCAGAAGAGGTAATAAAGTTTTCTAGTTAACTGGAGTCTAATGAAAACTTTCAGTTTAAATCCTTGTTACCAAAAACCCAAACCCACTGCCCTTAAATTGATTCCAACTTGTAGTGGCCCTACAGGACAGAGTAGAACTGCCCCCATAGAGTTTCCAAGGCAATAAATCTTTACAGAAGCAGACTGCTTCATCTTTTTCCTGTGAAGTAGCTGGTGAGTTTGAACCACCAATCTTTTGGTTAGCAGCTGAATGTTTTAACAGCTGTACCACCAGAGCTCCTTCAATCCTTGTTATGTCTTCTAAATTGTTTAAGTATACTTTCCTGTTTCAGTGTAGAAAAGTTGATCTCACATGACCCAGAATCTTATGGTACCTTAGCTTTTTCATGTTGAGTATCATTCTCTTGTATTTTACGGTATCAGAAGTTGAATTGGCTCTATTGACTACATTATGCAGTCCTGGAAGTTGCCTTTTTTTTTTTTTTTAAATAGCTCATAGTGCCATTTCTTGTCTTTAACAGCCTGTTAAAGCCTATTAAAATGGAATGAAAGGGGAGATACTCAGTCAACTGAGAATTTTAATTGAATCCAGATTAACTGTATAATTCTTGGAATCTATCCAAAGAAAGATGAACTTAAGATAGAAAAATGTAATAAAAGTAGAATTTTGGAAAATGTTACTTATTTTATACCTTTTGGAGATTATTTGAAGTTGATTGGAAGAGGATAAGGATTATGTGATGTGGAGACGATAGTGAATGCCCATTGAGTCCTTTTTATGTGATAGACTTTAGTAAACCAAAAAACAAACTCGCTGCCATCGAGTTGGTTCTGACTCATAGCAACCCCCACTGGGTTTCCGTGGCAGTAAATCGTTACAGAAGTAGATTGCCTAGTCTTCCTTTCACAGAGTGGCTGGTAGGTTTGAACCACCAGCCTTCTAGTTAACAGTCAAATGCCTTAGGCACTACGCCACCAGAGCTCCTTGATGGATTTTAGTAGGACAATTCTATTTGCTTTCAAATACAGGTTTTTTTAGATTTTTATTATTATTATTATGATTTGGGTGAAAATTTACAGAGCAAGTTTGTTTTCTATTCAATAGTTCACACACATTTTGTTTCATGACATTGATTGCAATCCTTACCATGTAACAGCTCTCTTCCCACTTCCTCCCTGTGAGTACCTTTTCCCAGTGTCCTTCTTTCCTGTGCAGTACTACCCTCTGAGCTATCTCCCTGTGCAAATGCTGCCCTTCGGATCTCTCATAGTTGATTGATCTAAGGAGTATACCTCCGTGGTGTAATTGTTCACCTTATATGCCTGTCTGTTGTTTGGCTGGAAGCCACAGGACTAAGTTCAAGTCCAGGCCCTAAGGGTGACTATGAGCCATAGTCTCAGGGGTTTCACCAGTCCCTATCAGAATATTAAGCCTGGACATTTTTATGATTTTGAGTTTTATTCCACATTTTTCTCCCACTTTATCCAGGCTCTCCTATTGTGATTCCTTACTGAGTAGTTGATGGTGGTAGTTGAACACCATCTAGTTCTTCTGGTCTCAGAGTTTTGTAGGCTAAAGTTTGCAGGGTCTGCTCATCCCTTGGACAATCATTTCCATGTGTCTTTGATTTTCTTCATTCTTCTTTGCGCTAGATGAGGAGAGACAATTTTTTGTATCTTAGATGGTTACTCAGAAGCTTTTAAGACCCTAGTTGCTACTCACCAAAGTAAATGTTTCTGTGTAGTATGTAATGCCAATTGAGCTTGATGTTCCCATGAAACTCACTCCCTCAAGGTGTTTGGCTGTGGCTGAGAAGTTACCATAACTTTGCCCCCTGTTAGCTCTATTGTCTATATGGACATTCTGACAGGCCTTGCAAATACATACGTAGAAATATCATCTGCCAAACTTATGTATGATCATGGGTATATTCCCTTTTGCCTACCCATACTGATCATTTAGTCTGCCTACCAATGTATCCACCTGTAGATTAATGTTTGTTATTACTGATAATGCAGTATTATGTATGTAAAAGTATCTGTCTTTGTTGTCTGTAGCTCCTGTGCACCTCTGTGTCTTCTTTTTCCTTAATGTCATGGTGCTGGCCATTTGCTTTTGGTATGTTGCCTATCCCTTCACCCAAACCAGTACTTGTTTCTTACCTATCTAGGAATTTTCCCTCCCTCCCTGCTAACCAGCAAAGAAAGTTTCCTTCCATATGTAAACCTTTCCTTGACTTTTTACTATAGTGGTATTTCTCCTTTTGTGATTGACTTATTTCACTCAGCATAATGTCCTCCAAGTTCATCCATTTATGAGTTGTTTTGTGGATTCGTCATTGTTCTTTTAGTGTTGCATTGTTTTCCATTGTGTGTATGTACCATAGTTTGAATATCCATTCATCCCTTGATGGGCATTTAGGTTGTTTCCATCTCTTTGCTATTATGAATGGTGCTGAGATGAACATGGGTGTGTATATATCTGTTCATGTCCTGGCTCTCACTTCTTTAGGATATATACCTAGTAGTGGGATTGCTGGATCAAATGGTATTTCTATTTCTAGCTTTTTAAGGAAGCACCATACTGTTTTCCACAGTGTTTGTATCATGTTAAGAGTCCCATCAGCAGTGTATGAGGATCACAATCTCTCCACACTCTTGCAAGCATTTGTTATTTTCTGTCTTGTTGAACTTTGCTGTTATTGCTGGAGTGAGATGATATTTCATTGTTTTGATTTGCATTTTTGCTAGTTTGATTTGCAAATGGCTAATGATCATATTTCTTCATGGATTTGTTGGCTACCTGAATATCTTCTTTGGTGAAGTGTCTGTTCCTTTAGCAGGCTCTTCTTATCTTTCTCTCTCTGAAATGTTCACAAGGTTCCTTTCTTCCTCTCATCCTCTGCTATATATTCTACCTAGATTATTTCTTCTATCAATATTTTCAATTTTTAGCTTTAGAGTAACAATGCCTTATCACTTTCAACCCTAAACCAAACAGGTATAAAATGAGCTCATCTTATTCCTTGCCTGTCTCTTCCTACCCCCAATCTATTTCTTTGATTTTGTTCCTAATTTTATCTAATGGCATCACTATCTGTCCAGTTAGCCAAGCCAGATAGCTAAATGTTGAAGGCAAAGTGACAATATAATTTGTCATCCAAACTAAGAATTTTGAGATAAAGGGAGCTCTATTATTAATAACTGTGCTAGGAAAATAAAGGACCTCTGGTGGGACAGTGCCTAAAGCATTTGACCACTAACCACAGGGTTGACAGTTCAAACCTACCACCTGCTCTGCAGAGGGAAAATAGGGCTATCTACTTCTATAAAGATTTATTGCCTTAGAAACCCAGTGGGGGTTTGCTGTGAATCAGAATCAACTCTATAACTTAATGGAAGTGTGTTTTGTTTTTTTTTTTTTCCCTATGCTAGGAAAAAAACCCATTGCCATTGAGTCGGATGCGACTCATAGTGACCCCTCCTCCCCTCCTTGGGTTTCTGAGGCAGTGTCACTACAGAAGTAGATTGCCTAACCTTCCTTCCAAGGAGTGGCTGGTGGGTTTGAACTGCCAGTTCAAACTTCTGGTTAGCAGTTAAATGCCTTGGCACTATGCCACCAGAGCTCCCAGGTTTAAATCAAGGAGCACTAGTGGTGCAGTGCCTAAAGCATTTGATTGGTTCATACCCACCAGCCACTCCATGGAAGGAAGACTGGGCAGTCTACTTCCATAAAGATTTACTACCTCAGAAACTCAAAGGAGGTTGCTATGAGTTGGAATTGAGTGAATGACAGTGGGTTTGGGGTTTTTTGGAGTGTTTTTTTTGTTGTTGTTGTTTTGTTTTTAAGTTTAGGAAAATAGTCTTAAATCAGAACTATCACAGGCAGACTAGGATGTATGACCACTCTAAGGATAACTCCTTTCCTTTATATTCCATATCCATCCAGTCAAAACCCTGTTTGTTCTGCTGCTTTATCATCTCAACTTGATCCTCTCTGGCATTGCTATAATTCGTACCCTCATTTTCTTCTCAGGTGGATTACTGCAATAGATTAAATGCTCCTCTTGCTATTCTACCCTTCCCATTCCAACTTGATGGAGTGGTATTTTAAAAATGCATGTCTGTTCAAGTCACATGCTAAGTTCTTCAGCAACTTTGCATTCTGTTTGTGGTGAGATCCCAAGTTCCATGTACGGCATACAAAACCAGTTAGTAACACTGCAGAGGCAGAAAGGAACTCAATTTCAGAATCTCTGCCACCTCCAAACACATACTATGCTCTAACAGTAATGAAAATCAACCTCCTCTTACCTTTTTAGTTTCTGCTTTGGCTTCTTCCACTATTTTAATACCCCTCCCTCCTTTCTGTTCTACCTGACTGGTTTCAACTTGTCCAATAAAAGTCTACTCAGCTATTACCACCTCCAGAAAGCTACTCAACTCCCAGGCTGCATTACTTTATCATGTGGTTATCATAGTTTTATAATTAGCAGTTTATCCTCTTTTTATCTTCTGATTTTCTTTATCTCTTAATACTTAATTTAAACGCTTGCTGAATAAATTGTCATCCACTTTCCCCTTCTCCAATGGTAAGTGTGTCATTTTAGAAGCCATTCCACTGACCTCCCCTCATGTTTTCAAATTGGTTGACTGGCATTGAGCCACAGTTTATGGCCGTGGACAAAGGATTGGTAGTTGACACCATGTGGGTAAGTAACCTTCTGACTTACTAGTTTGCCACACTAAAATCTAACCAGCCATTGATGTAGCAATTACATGACTCCAGATTGAGGTTTCTTTTAAAGATAGCCTAACTTAAACCAATTAAAACATGAACTACATACTAAATGCTTTTAAATATGGGAAAATAGGCTGAATTGTTACTTCTGGTTTGAAAAATACTGTATCTTTCTGAACCGTGCAGTAGAAATCGATAGTGATTATTTTTTTTAATTCAGTGTTACAGTTCCCTCTTAGAGGTTTTAATGCTTCACAAAATTCTTAGCCCAGATTTTAAAATAAATGATTATTCTCTTTGAGTCAGTAAATATTTACTAAAGGTTAACCATGAGCTAGGAGCTCTGGGTAGCATAGTGGCTAAGGCACTTGACTGCTAACCAGAAGGCTGGCAGTTCAAACCCACCAGCCACTCCTCGGAAGGAAGGTTGGGCATTCCTACTTCCGTAGTGATACTGCCTCGGAAACCCAAGGAGGGGTCGCTATGAGTCGAGGTCGACTCGATGGCAAACAACAACAACAACAACAACCATGAGCTGGCTGCCCTGGGTGGATCTAACAGTTAATGCACTTACTGCTAACTGAAAGGTTGGCAGCTCAAGTCTGCTCAAAGTTCCTCACAAGAAAAGCCTGGTGGTCTGCATCTGAAGAATCGGTGCCACTGATCACGCTGTGGAGCCCAGTTCTGTTCTGACAACCATGAGGTCACTAGGAGTTGGAACTGACTCAATTCCAACTGGTACAGGTAATCATTGGGAGCTCTGGTGGCATAGTGCCTAAGGCATTTGACTGCTAACCAGAGGGCTGGCAGTTCAAACCCACCAGCCACTCCTCAGAAGGAAGGTTGGGCAATTTGCTGTCTGTAGTGATACTGCCTCGGAAACCCAAGGAGGGGTCGCTACGAGTCGGATTCGACTCGACAGCAGTGTGAGCACACGTGTACGTGTGCATGCATACTGGTAATCATGAGCTACATCTTTTTCCCTAATTCTTTGGATGTGGCCATATATCATTACTAAAATTTTTATACAAAAACTATTAACAATAAACATTGGGATGTAGAAGATAATACGGTCAGATAGGATTTTAATTTTTATCCCTGAAAAGGCTTCATAAAATGAACTCTGAATATTATAAAACTGGTAAGTGCATGTGGTTTGAAGGAAGTAATGAGGATTATTCTTGGACAGATTCTAACACATACGTGGTCTAAGGTAAAGGTTCTTAACCTTTTTGGAGTCAAATACTCCTGGGAGAATTTGAAAGCATACAATTTTTGTTTTATTGTCCCTTTTTTAAAGGTCATATGAAAATGGTTTCTTAGTGCTTACATAATAAGCACTCCATGGCTTAATGGCATCTTCCCTCATGTCTAGTACTTGCTGTGTACCAGCCTTTGTTCCTGAGGTATTCAGGTTAATGGGAAAACAAACAACTCTAACAAAATGTACTATACTGTAAGAATTTTTTTTTTTTTAAATCTATGTGAGAAGCAGAAACCATTACTTGGAACCATTTTCTTGGAAATTTCAGGCCTATTGTACTCACACTGGAGCAAAGAGAGAATCCCATTTCAGAACTGTCAGAAGGCTGTGTTTGGGTCAATTATTGTTCAATTTTCCTTTTTAATACAGTTCATCAAATTGGCTTTTCTAGGTTACCTTGGCCATCTAAGTGTATGATCAGGAAGTAGGCAGCATTTGCCCAGGAATAAAGCTCAGAAGGCAGGAAGGGATAGGAAAGAAGATGAATGGAAGTGATAAACACAGGGAGGAAATTAAAAGAGTGCTGTTACATTGTGGGGATTGCAGTCAATGTTACAAAGCAAAATGTATGAATTGTTGAATGGAAAATCAATTTGCTTTGTAAACTTTTATCTAAATTGTAATAATTGAAAAATAAGTCTATGCATGCACACAAGTAGGAAATGAATTATTGCTAACAAGGAAGGTTTCACGCAGGAGTTATCATTTGAGTTGAACCTTCAAAAATGGACTAGTTGTCAATATGGCATCAAGGCTTTTACCCCAGCAAAGAGTAACCTCCCTCCTCTGCATTTTCAGAGTACTCTGATTGGACCTTTGAAAGCAATTTATGCCCTAGAGTCTGGTTATATAAGCATGTCTTTCTTTCTTTCTTACCCCCCCCCTTAGAAGATTGAAATTTTTCAAGGCTAGGGCCATGCCTAGTTCAATTTATATATGTCCTATATCCTATACATAGAAGCCACATATTAAATGTTTGTTACGTTCCATTGAACATGATTCTGTTCCTTCATACTGTAACTGTTACTGCAGCTAAACAATTTAAGGGCTCCCTTAACTTAATAAAAAACATCAGATCCACTAATTTTTCTGTTTTTCCATATATTTATTAAAAGGATAGAAAAAAAAAATGATATCATGGCTTCTAGAGGGAAAATAATATTTCAGCTTTATTTTGTTACCAATGCCTCAAATAATGATCCTAAAACAAAACACTATCTATCAATCTCATCAGACTCTCAAGGAAACCAAATTTAGTATACATTGGTTTTTTCCTAATTAAAAATGTATTAAAATTTTACTTACATATCTATTAGATATTTAAATATATCACCTGACAAAATAGCTTTTTTTATTTGATTTTTCAAAAGTGACTTCAGAAGAAACACCATTGAGGGACACTGGTGATTTTAAAAGTGAACTGAGTTGAGCATTATACCTGTCATCTTTGTTCCTTTGGGAGAAAACTATTTTCTTTTAATGCAGCAGTTTTATTTTATTTGTCAATTTGTATGTTTTTACCATTGTTCAAGTGTCATCAGATTTACTAATATAAGACTCTGAAGAAAAATTTCCTGCACATTGGATAAAAGCCAGCTCTACAATGGGAAGATATTTGATCATCTAAATGATATAAAGTACTGTAATGTTACTTTTTATTTGTTTATTTTCAATCTAATGAGAAGCAGTGAAAACAGATTTCTGTTGATTGACCTCTTACTGGTTTTCACCAAATAATATTGATATATCCTGAAGGCTTTCTTGACCATAAAGAAAGTGGCCACAACCTTTCATTGTTGTTGTTGTTATGGCCGCCAAGTCAGACCCAACTCATAGTGACCCCTCCTTGGGTTTCCGAGGCGGTATCACTACGGAAGTAGATTGCCCCATCTTCCTTCCGAGGAGTGGCTGGTGTGTTTGAACCTCCAGCCTTCTGGTTAGCAGTCAAGTGCCTTAGGCACTGCACTACCAGAGCTCCCATCACTACAATATATCTTAAACTTGGTCTGTTAAATTAAATCACATACTCTGTCACAGATATCTTGGTACTATCTTAGTGCTTACTGATAAAGACTAATTTTGTATTTGATACTAATTATATACCCTCATGCTTGTTTTCCAGGGTATGTATGTATTTTTGCATGCAGTGAAAGGAACACCCTTTGAAACTCCTGACCAGGGTAAAGCAAGACTTCTAACTCATTGGGAACAACTTGATTATGGAGTACAGTTTACATCTTCACGGAAGTTTTTCACAATTTCTCCAATAATTCTGTAAGTGGTGTAAATTTTTAGGTATGAGGAGGATTGGAAGAAATGAGAGCACCTTTTTATCAGATTGAATTTGAATTAGAAACAGTAGAATATTTTAGTAAAAACATCTCTATTAGTAAGTAGTTAACTCAGTAAAAAATACCAGACTTTTAATTAGTTGATAATAAATCAGTATTCACTTCAATCAATACATATGGAGACAACATTACATGCTAGGCACTTTGGGGCTATATTGGTAAAAGGTATTCATTCTAGTTCCTGTCCTTAACTTACAAGAAAACTAAACAGAAAATCATATCCTATATCCTACTGTCAGATTGATCTTCCTAAATAATGATTTAGATGGTTTCAGAAGAATTTAACTACCCACTCCCAACTGGATGTTCAAATTCTTTGTGAGAGATAATAGGTTTTAAAGAATAGAGAACTCAGGATTTCATTGTAGGATAGATGTAGAATGAATCCTAGATCTGTCACTCAGCTTGGATTGCTCCTGTATAAAATTGATCTAAGAATACCTAATTCAATGCTGATGCTTTAAGAAATAAATGAGATAATACCAACCTGAATGTGTTCGGCTACTAATTGAAAGTTTGGCAGTTCAAGTCCACCCAGAGGCACGTCAGAAGAAAGGCCTGGCAATCTACTTTTGAATAATGAGCCATTAAAAACATTGACCTGATGGGAAGCATCTAACTTTGTATCTGGCAAATAATTTCCTCCTCTTAACCTGGTATTTTGACCCCTGCACAAAATAGTTCCTACATCATTTTCCTTTTATATGAATATTTTATCTCCATCTGACTTCTACCTGCTCAAGCTATTCTAAGTAGCATTTCTTGAGTACTTCATATGTAGTACTATTTCTATACCTTTGTTCAAATAATTTCTTCTACCTGAAATGCCTTCCCATTTCTTAATATAGTTGGCCTCAGGTTCCACATTGTGGATTCAACCTACTGTAGATTAGAAATATTTGTGGGAGGAGGGGAAAGTGGCAATTAAGTGGTCAAAGCAATCCCTCAAAGGCTAAGAGGGAATGTAAAATGTTATTTATGTAGCATTTACATTGTATTGGGTATGATAAGTAGTTTAGAAATGATTTAAAGTATAGGCTGTTGTTGTTGTTGTTATATGCCGTCGAGTCAGACCCAACTCATAGCGACCCCTCCTTGGGTTTCCGAGGCAGTATCACTAC